GAAAATGCATATCGTCCAAGATTTCCGTTATCTTTCAACTCATTGGACTTTTTATCTTCTAATTCCAATCATAGGAATTATTTAATTTATCCGGTTTATGCATTTAGTAGAACGGTCATTTTTTTAGGATGATACATTTAAGTTCAGCTTAACAAAGCTTATGCTTTAAGCGTATTTAATTTAATTAGACTATATACTTTAAATATAATTTAAACAAGCTTGACAAATGCTTGTTAACCAAAAGACAAATAAATTAATATATTAATTATAAATACATGTATATGTATATAAATTAAACAACTTATTTAAATAGCTTTTTAGTTTTACAGTATTCTACAACCAACATCTAATTTTATTGATTTTTTTAATTTATACTTTTAAAAATGACTAAATGATAACAGACTGCAAAAAAAATGTTCGACCGAAAGCACAATGTAATTGATAATAAATTGATCGATCAAAAAATTAAGAGTAACATGAATTGAAGTGAGAAAGCTCGAAGAATCAGTTGCCAATTTGATGATGAAAAGAAACAGAAGCACCAGTCCGTCTTGGCCTGGTGGCTTAGAAAATTTATTTTTTATATATGCAGTATGATAAAGAGATCTACCAAGTGCATTTTTTTTCTTTTCTCATTGTAATTCATTTTGCTAAATTTAAAATTTAATTAATTAAAATGCAAACTACCAATAATCAGAATGAGTCCGTTGAAGAATATATCTCAAGAAAAAGTATCAAATGTTATGAATTTAAACAATTTAGCAATTTTCAAGAAATTGGTACAGGCGGCTTTGGGAAAGTTTATCGTGCAAATTGGAAAAATTCAAATCAACATTTTGCGTTAAAATCATTTCATAACATTAGTAATAATACCATTAAAAAAATTATTCATGAGGTAAGTGCAAAATAAAAGATTATATTCTGTTCGCTTCGATTATTTCGGTCTATTTAAAATGAAATCTTTTGTATATTAAACTAATATTTATATTCTAATAATTTAGCTTGAACTTCAGCTGGAGGTTGATTTTCATAGCAATGTCATCCGATTTTTGGGAATTACATCAAACCAAGGTATAAAATCTTAAATAATGAGGATATACTACATATATTAAAGTTGTACGTTATTATTTATTTATTTATAATTTTTTTTTTTTTTAAAAAAAAATTAGAAAATCAAAATGATCAATTGAAAAAATATAGGTTAGTAATGGAATATGCTGACGGAGGTGCGCTTAAAAAATATTTGAAGGAAAATTTTAATAAGCTTACTTGGGGAGATAAATACAACTTGGCATACCAATTGTCTTGTGCTGTATCATGTTTACATAATGAAGGAATTTTGCATCGAGATTTGGTAAATTTATATAATACGTATTCTATTACGAATATTTCTGTTTATTATTAACAATTTTTTTATATGCTTTAAATAGCATTCCGGAAATATATTAATTCATCAAGGTGTCATAAAACTAGCCGACTTTGGATTATCGAAAAGGATAGAAGCGGAAACTAATCAGTCAAAAACTTTTGGAGTAATTCCTTATGTTGACCCAAAATTTTTTAGCAGACGAAGAAATGACAATATTTCACCACAATTTAAACTCAACGAAAAGAGCGACGTTTACAGTGTTGGTGTACTCATGTGGGAGATATCAAGCGGTCGACCTCCTTTTTATAATAAGGATGAAGAATACGACGTAAGTTTAGCTATCGAAATTTTGGGAGGACTTAGAGAGAGGACCATTCCCGACACTCCTGTTGATTATGTGAATATCTACACTGGTAAATATTTGATTTTAAAATTATTTATAAGAATGTATAATAAAATGATTATTAAATTTTATCTAATTAATTTCAGGGTGCTGGGATAATGAGCCAGATAATCGTCCATCAATGAATCAAGTAGTCGATAAATTAAATGCAATTGTATCGAATATGAACATAACACAAAATAATAATAATCAAATGAATAATTATGAATCAAATAATTTTGAAGCTGTTTCTAATGTAAATAATTCATTAGAAGAAGATTCTCAAATTATTCGATTTGATCAGATACCAGATATTATTTATGATGATATTATTGAAAGTTTAAGGATTACAGAATCTAATAAGGATGACATATTAAACTCCTTAGGAGGATTACAAAGATATCGAAAATTATCAGAACTTAATTGCTCTTCTACTAAAATAACTATCCTACCAACATTACCCAACTCCTTAAAAATACTTTTTTGTAATAATACTCAAATAACTTTCCTACCAACTTTACCCAACTCCATAACGTATCTTGATTGCTCTAATACTCCGATAACTATCCTACCGATTTTACCCAATGCCTTAATAAGACTCTTGTGTCATAATACTAAAATAACTATCTTACCAACTTTACCCAACTCCTTAATTGAACTCTGGTGTTATAATACTATAATAACTATTCTACCTACTTTATCCAACTCCTTAAAAGTACTTAATGTCTCTGATACTCCAATAACTATCCTACCGACTTTACCCAACTCCTTAACGGAACTTGATTGCTCTTCTACTAAAATAATTATCTTACCAACATTACCCAACTCCCTAACTTATCTTGACTGTACCAAGACTCTAATAACTAGCTTACCAAATGAGCCCGATTTCTTAAGGGATATATTTCCTAAATCTTTAAAGACTTTTCAAAAATCTCATAAATCCTGTACTATTTTCTAAATGTTTAACCTTCTATAATTAAGTATGCGTTGAAGTCGTGATCCATGCTGCGCCGGTATACAACAGCCAATCATGTAATCTGATTTGGTTAACAAATCTGACGAATAATATTTGTTAGATTTATTATATTTATTAGTTAGTTCATATTAAATTATATTTATTATATATAAAGGTAAGACATATTTTATTTCTATTTGATTATTTTATATAAATACTCTGTAACTTTGCCTTGGAAAAGGGGAGTGTCGTTACCAATCTCTAATAAAATAATATTTTTATCTATTAAACTTAAATCTCTGCTCATTTATAATTCATTCTTCTTTAAATTTTATCAATAAAGTTGACCTGACCCTTTAATATAATTAATTCATGTCTATTTCTTTCATAGTTTAGACGTAATTAAACACACAATTAGTAAATAATTTACGTTAACTTAACGTAAAACCGTTTCTTAACAATGCACGATTATAAAATTCTGATTAGTAAACCTTGCAATATAATACTTGGACAAAAATCTTTTTTTTACTCTTACGAACTTTAGTCGTTTCTTATAATTGGCAATATATGAATATTAAAATCCTACGATGACGTAAGTTCAAAAGTTTCAAAAGTATCGAAGGTAAGATTATTATTTTCATTTATATTTTTTTGAATTATCCTTATGTGTAAAGTTATTTTATAATTTTAATAAATAAGATTAAAGATGTGAAGGTTATTCTTATTCATTAATGAAAATAAATAATAAACATATACAAGAAAATTAATTAATTTAGAAAATAATTTAACGAACACTCTAATTGATATACTGTAGTCCTCGTTTCAAAACATGAATTTATCACATTATCCATGAAAAGTTTATCAAAGTGAGCTTTTATCTCTTTAAATCTAAAAAAGCTATCTTTTATAACAATAAAAAAAAAGGTTTTAAAAGCATTCCATGAACAATATAGTGTTTTATTCAATTAATAATTACCATATTAGCACAATTGATCTTTCTAAATAATTTCTATATAATACTTTTATTAGTACTGATAAAATATGAGTATTAAAATACTATTTTAAATTGTAAATTTACTTTAATAATTTAATTAAATAATAATTAAGTAATTTATTAATATTCGGGCGAAACTAATTTAGGAGAAACAATTGAAAAATAACTGAAGATTACTTGAGATCCAATTATATTTCACGGGACCTAAATTTAAAATATAACAATTCGTTGAATCGTAAAATAAAAATGTGAAACAAAAAATTCCTTATGTTCTTAAAATTGTAAATCAAAACATTATCGTTTGATAATATTATATCCCGGGATAACTTATAATAATAAGAGCATCTTCGATATATTGCTATGCTACAATTATTTTTAATATGGAAAAACGTTTCTAAAAGAGCTGAATGTTGTATCTAGTAATTATAAATTTAAATGTTTAAAATTTAGTGCGTTTTTGTATTTTGTGCTTTGGCGTTCTTAAAATAAAAAAAAATAGAATTAACGTCTCACGATGTTTAAAAAAAATGTGGATAATCGTTAAAATATAATAGGAAAAAAACTAAGATCTTCTTTTTCATTACATGAATCATTACCTAAAACAGTCAAATGTTCGTCAAAAAGTACGGTCGTAATTCAATAAAAAACAAAAAACAATATCCTAGAGTGCACTTTAAAGAATATGTTTCAGAATAATCTAACAATATTTCACTTAAATCAAAAATATTCGAAACTTTATTAAAAAATTAGATTTTTATTGGTTGGTTTTTACATCGTTAAAATCCAGGATGATTTTATATAATTAAATGGGTTCCGCAATTAGTGCTACATTACGGAAATTAATATAAAAATATATAAATTGATCAATTTCATTATTATTTGTTCAAACGTTTGTGTCAAACAGAAGCTTTGAGAAGTTAAAATATAATAACTATTGGTCCAGCCCATCAATCAAATTATTTTTTTTTTTAAAAAAAAAAAAAGATAAACATTGTATATAATTTTTGAAGTAGATGTAAAATAACAAGGTCGAAATTAAAAAAAAATATATAAACAATTCTGACATTGTTTGCATTAATTTAGTTAATTGTTAAATAGAATTCTGAATTTATTTACGAAAATTTGATCTGTTATATAATTGAATGAAACAATTTTTTTTTTTAATTTATAAATATTTATGCTTTGAACAATGCTTTTTACGCAATTAAACATACATTGTTCTCGTTAATAAAGGTAAAATAACATTTTCAATTAATAAAAACAGAAACTTGCTATCTAATCTTATGTTTATGTAATTCAATCAGAAATTCTTTTTTTCCGAAGATTTACAGTCATTAGAATTTAAAATAATATCGATTTTTCTTTGTTGCTGTTCATCAAGAATTTTATAGAGAGGAATGAAATCATTTAATTCTATAATTTCCAAATCATTTAAATCTTGTATCAAACCAAATAATTCATTTTTTTCAATAATCTTTCCTTGCTGAGTTAAAAGATATGGAATATTTAAATTATTTAAATATGGTTCTAAAGATTTAACTATCGGCGATTTTAAATAAATTTTAGCAGAAGTAGCATTTGGTATATTCTTTTTAAAAATCCTTCCCAAAGTAATTTTTTGAGCAAAAAATTGACCATATTCTTCAAATACACCTTGTAAAGCTTTATATGGTTTCATACTTTCAAGTGCGTCATTTATAGCTTGCTCAAATTCTATCGAAGGATTAAAATGATCCCTATTCATAATAATTTCATATTTCTCAAGTTTGATGAGAAAACTATATTCATCATAACTTGAATCATTCGACTCAATATTCCTATCAACAAAGGGAAAATGGCTTAAATCTTTAATAGAAAAGATATTATTGATTATCAATTCTTCTTTCACTTTTGTAGTTTCCAAATAAGATTTATTGCTTGATTCTATATTGGGTATTTTGACGATATTAACCGCGAATTTTTTGCTCTTTTCCAATTTATATGATTTATTAATAACTTGACAATGCGGAAGGTTTTTAATCCAGCCTACTAAATTAATATCCATAACATTTCCAGTCCACACATCAAAACTTAATTTCTCCTTAAAATTAGCAACTCCAGGTTGCTTTTCTATTGGACAAGATTCAAAGTTAACATCTGAAAATTCTTCGTGTTTTAATTGAGAAATAGGAATAAGATTATCATATGAAATTATATCAAAGTTGTTATTTTGATATAAATCTCTCATCCAATCGCCCAACTTCACAGGTGTATCTAGTACTTTTCCATCCAATGTTTCTATTCTTAGAAAGTGAAAAACGGAAAAATGATTGAGTGGAGAAAATTTGTTATAATGTTTAGCTAAATTATAAACACTTGATAAATAAAATTTTGCGATATCAATTTGCGTTTGATTAGATGAGCTAAATCCTTTGATAAATAATTTACCACCAACTGTAACTTTCCTTGCAAACAGATGACCAAACAATTCATTTAAATTTTCATCTTCATTCGCAAAAGCTTCCGATAAAACACCATTATAAGCAATTTCAGCGATCGGAAAATTAATACATGCATCAGATGGTTGTAAAATAGTTTCAAAATTAAGATTTGTTGTAGAATCGGGATCATTTATATTTGTATATACTATAGGTTGCTGTTTATATGAACTGATATTCAATTTACCATCATCTTTAATAATAGCCAATTTGCTTGGTTGCATGCCATACTCATCCATGAATAAACCATGATTCAATTTCATCTGTTGAATCATTTGCTGTTCAGAGCTTTTTTCACTATCTTTATTTGACTTCTCATGAACTGAATTAGAGAACAAAATTAATTGATGTTCTTATAAATAATATAAATTGCGATGAACTTTCACGAACCTGGTTCTGGAAACGACTTCTCGTCTGATCCGGCATCATCAAGATATTTTGTAGTTGAAGTGAGATAACCTCCAACTGATGTGAACCATGATGATGATTGTTTCTTCTTATCGGAAACCTTTTCGACCACAACCTTTTCGCATGATTCCAAAATTTCTTTTTCTAATTTTTCATCCTTGACTACTTCATGTTTACCTAATACCTTATTGCAGTATTCCAACGTTATGAACGTGTTCCAGGTCTTTTCATCAAATTTCTTGACGCGTTCATCAGAGACACGAATAATTGATGTAATGTCTTTTGATGTGGTTATGCCAAGGTCTTCGGTAATTTTTTCGGAAATTTCGAACGAGCCATCTTTATTTTGAGTTTTGGTAACTTTATCGACCTTAAAATTCATAAATTAAATTATAAGTATGTAAATAAAAGTATCACGTCAATTTATTTTTCAGTAGAATAATATCTACTAACCTCTTCTACGGTTACAGATTCTTGCATCTTTTCAATTATTACTTTATTGGCTTTTTCTTTAACTACTTTTTTCGTTGCGTGGTCAACTACAATTTGATCGGTTTTTTCTAATAATTCTTTTTCCACTTTCTCGTCTTTTATCTGAGAGCTTAAATATTTCTTCGCCTTTTCGTACTTCTCTTTCACTTCTGGTGATGAATCCGCGGATGATGTTTTTCGGAGGAAAGATAAGGTCATGGCAGTATCGATGATTTTCTTGCTTTCGGGTAATTTGATATCTTTTGTAGTGAAGTAGGATTTGACGGAAGATACTAATGATTCGGTAGAATCGGTTTCAAGCTCCTTGGAAACCGCCTCAGTCAATTGTAGGGATCCGTCATCTTTTTGATTTGATACTATTTCGTGGACCTTCTCAGTTGAAGTAGATTGTTGAACGGTAGCGACGGCATCTTTCTTCTCTTTTTGAACGCTTTGTTCGATGATAATCTTGTCTGATGCAGTTAATAATTCCTTAACTAAATTTTCATCTTTAAGCTCTTTAATAAGGTACTGTTTAGCCTTCTCAGAATTATCCTTGTGCTGATCGGCTTGATCTTTGGATGAAGTCATAGTTAAGTAACGGAGAGACAATGCTGTTTCCCATGCACTTTGCGAAATATTTTTTAATTTGTCACTAACACCGTGAGATTGAACAGTCTTTTGAATGTCATCAGAAGATATATCAATATGTTCAGAAACTTGTTTGTCCAATTTAATTGAGCCATCGGTTTTTTGAGTTGAAACGATCTTTTGAGTGGTTTCGGGAGTGGTCTTGGATTGAAGGGTAA